TTTCCTTTCCTTTCCTTTCCTTTCCTTTCCTTTCCTTTCCTTTCCTTTCCTTTCCTTTCCTTTCCTTTCCTTTCCTTTCCTTTCCTTTCCTTTCCTTTCCTTTTTTCAAAACAGGGGTTTTCTGTGTAACCTTGGCTGTCCTGTAACTCACTCTGTAGACCAGGCTGGCCTCGAACTCACAGAGCTCCACCTGCCTCTGCCTCCTGAGTGCTGGGATTAAGGGCGTGTGCCGGGCTGGATGTAGCATTTCTAAGAGAATCAAAGGTTGTACTTTTGTTTTTGAGCCAGTTGTCTGTAGTTCAGGCTAGCTTCAAACTCAATATATAGCTGAGGATGACCCTAAATTCCCGAACCTCCGGCCTCTTCCTTCCAAGTACTGGATTTATAGACATGTGCCTACTACTCCTGGCCAGAATGAGTTTTTCCTAATGGAGTTTGCCATGAAAATATGGGTTTAGACTAGGCGGTGGTGGTGCTCGCCTATAATCCTAGCACTTGGGAGGCAGAGGCAGGTGGATCTCTGAGAGTTCAAGGCCAGCCTGGTCTACAGAGAGAGTTCTAGGACAGACAGAACTGTTGAACAGAGAAACCCTGTCTTGAAAAACAAACAAAAGGGAAAAAGTGTGGGTTTAGGTTACTTATTTGTATGCTAACTAAAAAACAAAGAGGTTTAGAATTTCAAATCTGTTGGAGGTTGTTCAGGTAGGTTTCATTAGGTAACGATGGGGCCACAGCATAGGTCACCTCGTCCACATATAGCCAGGTTACCATGCTGCATATTTGTTCTTTGATGATGGGGAATTTACTCTTTAACTGGGTGGTGGCGCACACCTTTAATCTGAACACTTAGGAGGCAGAGGCAAGCAGTTCTCTGAGTTTGAGGCCAGCCTCGTTGGTCTACAAAGTGAGTTCCAGGGCAGCCAAGGCTATATAGTGAGACCCTGTCTCCAAAAACAAAACAAAACAGATTTACTTTTAACTTTATGTTTCAGAAAATCAAAAGAAGAATATGACCAGGAGGAAGAAAGGAAACGAAAAAAGCAGGTGCTTGCAAGATGTAGATGCAGCAGAAGTCTGTCTTACTGGCATTGCCTCTTTCTTACTTACTCTTGGCTTTTGCTATTAGCATTTAAGTTTCTACAGAACTCCTCAGAGTAGCCATATTTTCTTGGCAAGTCAAAATATTTATATTTTACTTTTTATCCTTTTTTTTTTTTAAAAAGATGGAAAATACCTTTTCCTTCTGGTTGGTGCAGGTACTGGTGTGCCTTGTGTGAATGTATGCGTGTTAGCATGTGTGTAAGCACACATGCCTGTGTGCATGTGCATGTATGGAGGGGCAAGATTGGTGTCAGGTGGCCCCTCAATTTCTCCACATATATTGAGGCAGGGTCTCTCGCTGAACCCAGATTCTGTTGCTGTGGCTAGTCTGGTTTAGGCAGCTTGCTTAGGGAATGCCATCTCCATTTTATATGTAGGGATTAAAGGTTAGCTGCTTCCCAGACACCCGTATGTGGCTCTCAGCTGTCCATGACTCCAATTCCAGAGGATTTGGCATCCTCTTCTGGTACCAGGCATACACACAGTATATATAAATACGTCAGGCAAAATACTTATACACATAAAATCAAAATGAATCCTTAAAAACCAAAACAAAAACCAGACACGCTTCTGTGGCCAAGAACAGCACTCATCAGTGGGTGGGATTTAACAGCCTGTCCATTTCACAGGGCAATAGGAAGTCCCCTTGCAGTAGGACCTCCCCAGCTGTGGGATTTTGAGGGTTTTTTGTACCACGTATGAGATCCCTGTGCAGTGGGCCTCAGATCCATCCAAATGCAGTTGTTTTTACTTACAATGGTCATGCCTATTTCACCAGCGTGGTTATCCTGTCTGCCAGGTCAGTATTGCAGCTTGCAGAGTTCACAGCTGGGTAAGAAGCTTGATTTTTTATTTTTACTTTTTGAAACAGGGTCTTACTGTGTAGCCCTGGTTGGCACAGAACTTGTTATGTAGACCAGGCTGTCCTCAAGCCCTGCTTCCCAAATGCTGGGATTAAAGGTGTGCACATACTTTCTTACAAGAGTATATTTTATAAATTCTTAGAAAGTAATTATTGGTGCTAGGGGTGTAGCTCAGTGACAGTGCCTATGCTTACTATATGTCATAGGTTAATCCCTAGCCTTTCCCCTATACCCAAATTTAGAATTCTGTCAGTTTAAATTTGCTCACTTTATATCATTAGTCCGCAACCTATCTTTTAAATTTCATGGTAAAGGCTCAGAGCATCACATCAAAAATGGTAATGTCACTGATATACTGTTCTAGGGAATTCTTTATAAAGTCTTGTCTTTATTATTGCTCTGTTGCTGTAAGGAGACACCATGAACAAGGCAACTTATAAGAGCATTTAACTGGGGCATGGTTTACAGTTTCAGAGGGCGAGTTGGTAACTGTCACGGAGGAGAACGGGACAGCAGGCAGGCAGATTGGCATAGTACTGGAGCAGTGCTCAGTTTATGTTTTATCCACAGGCAGCAGGCAGAAGCCTCAAAGCCTACCCCCAGAGACACACCTCCTCCAACAAGGCCACACCTAATTCTTCCCAGAGTCCAACTGGGGACCAGGCATTCAGACAGGAGACTGTGGGGCCATTCTCATTCAAACCAGCACAGAGTTCCTCCGAGTGTTCAGAGTCTTCCTCATTCATTCACGGTCATGCTACCAAGTAAATAATCAAATTCAAAGAAAAGAGAAAAATCTTACTTTCCTTGTTTTCTTGACCCCTTTATTGTGTTGGAACATCAACCATGGCTTTCACCACAGTTTCTTCTACATCCTTAATCCTACTCCTTTGGTTATCATTCGTACTGCATTATTTGAAACAGAAGATTACTTGCCTCAAAAAGTAGGAGGTATAGGAGCTGGAGAGATGGCTTAGCAGTTAAGAGTATGCCGCTCTTCCAGAGGACCCAGGTTCAGTTCCCAGCACCCACACAGTGGCTCACAGCATCTTATCTCCGGTTCCAGGGAATTAGGATGCCCCCTTCCAATCTCTGGGCACTAGACATGCATGCAGTATACATACATGCAGGTGAAATACACCAAAGTAAGTCTACAAAAGTTAAATAAGAAAGTAGGCGCTAGCTGAGCATGATGGCGCACACCTCTAATCCCAGTCCTCGGGAGGCAGAGGCAGGAGGTTTTCTGTGAGTTTGAGGCCAGGCTGGTCTACAGAGTGAGTTCCAGGACAGCCAGGCTTTTTACACAGAGAAACTCTGTCCTGAAAAACAAAACAAAACAAAAAACCAAAAACAAAACAAAAACAAAAAAGAAGAAAAAAATAGAAGCTATAAAATGTTACATGTTTAAAATCCTGGGGAAAGTTGTTCATTATCTAGCTCAGTGCATGGTAATGTTTTAAATAAGATCTTTGGATCGCTTAACTATTGATTGGTCAACATTAATTTTTTTCCTTTTTAAAATTGTGTTATGGAATCCTGAAGTCATCAGAGGCTAAAATGGAAGACCCATCAGTGTATACTCCTGAAGCTGCAAAAATGAGTAATTCCCAAGGGGATGGAGAACATTTTGTTCAGCCACCTTCAGGTAAGCTTGAGGCGCACTGACTTTAACACACACGCCCTGAGAGAACCGCTGCTCCACAGCACGCTTCACCTCAAAGGCCTGCAACTTTGAGTGGCTTTGCTACTGCAAGTGCTTTTTAAGTGGAGTTTGTTTGCAGCTAGGAAATAGCCAGCCTGCCATTTCCACATTTCTCAGTGAAGCGTGGAATCCAGAGAGTAACAGTTCTCTTTGAGGGAGCCACCAGCCTCTGTACAATTTCAATAGCATATAATCACGTTTGTATTTGTGAGCTGGAAGCTCAACTTGGAGGTTAAAATTGAAAATTAGCTTTAAAAATTACCTTAAGGTAAAAGTAGAAGACATTTTTTTGTAGGTGTTTAGTTATTCATTATGTCCTTAAAGGAAATGCTAGCAGATGAACTTGTTCAGTACGTATCATAACCACTTTGAATATTTTCTCATACTGTATAGAAGTAACTGCAACAGCAATTGAATCATGATCATGATTTTAGTTTTTCACAGGTTTCTATGGTTTTAAACATCTTTTCTGAATTGAAAAGATAAAAATGTGAGACAGACATTGTGTTCCTTTTTTTTTTCCCTAAATAATGAATTCAGGAACGTGACTTCACAAGTGTTGTGAGCTGCTCCTAAGTAGTGAAATGTGCCTTCCGACTCTAAATACTATTTGAGATAGTCTGTACTGGTCGGCCTTGAACCCAGAGATCCACCTGCCTCAGCCTGCTGAGTGCTGGGGTTACAGGCAGAGGCCTTCAATCTGGCTTTTCCAATTATGGTTTTTCCATTTGTCAGAGTTCCACTTTATTCTTGTTTGCTCATTGGTTTTGAAGGAACAGGCTAACACTGGTCAGGAGTGTAGGACAGAAACAGGGCTATAAAGTTCCCTTCTGCACTTTTATTATGTCTGGTCTTTTTTTTTCTTCTGTATGTGAGTTCTATATATAGGCCAGACAATAGTGAGATCCTGTATCTAAATAAATGAAAACAGAAAAGCCCAGAATTTCATCACAGCCCACATAAAGTAGTATACATGTTAATAGCAAAACAAGTGGCAGATAACGTCTACTTGTTTCTTGATTTTTCAGGACTTTGTAAAATTGGTATATCAGACTTTTGGGATCACTTCATATAAAGTGATGGGACCCTACCTAGTAAGAAGAAGTCCTACTTTTAAAAGAATCGGGTGTTTGATTTGTATTGTTTGCCCTTTTATTCCTGTCTTCTCTTGGTTCCTACTAAAAATAATAGCATCTCTTCTGTGATGGAATTGTCAGATATGAATTTGTTTCATTAGGCTTTCTAATCCTTTCTTCTCCAATTCTGTGGTTCTGTTTGAGGAGCCAAGACTGCTTCTAGGAAAATAATCTCTAGTGTGACCTGAATATTAGCAGCTACTTGTTTATAAACTCATCAGGTTCTGTGGCCTCCGTCTAGACCGTTTGGGAAGTGCCGCTCTAACTTGTCTTTTCATGGGAGCCTGCAAAGGATTTTTTCTGGTCTCCCTGGCAGTGCAGTCAGCTTGTTCTCTGTACCTCAGCAGCCATCCTTGCCAAGTTCTTTGCTGGCTATACACACCTGGCAGGATTATTAATCCTTTGAGATATGTACCAGCTCCTTTTACTTCTATCATTTTAATGTAAGTCTTTGTATGTCTGTTTTCTTTCATAGCTCATGTAATTAAAAATGTTTTTATCTTTTAATTTTTGATGTGTATATGTGGCATATATGTCTGTGTGCACATATGTGAATACTCATGGATGAGACATGCAGAGGCCAGCGGTTGAGGTTAAGTGTCTTCCTCTGTTGCTGTCCACTTTGTTTGAGATAGGATCTCTTCATTGAACCTAGAACTCACTGACTGGCCAGCAAGCCTCTGAGCTCCATTTGTCTCTGGGCTTGATGTCCTCTGCCAAGCTCAGCTTTTTAAATGAGTGTAGGGTATCCAAACTAAGATTCTTATTCTCTCATAGCTGTTTTCCCACCGAACCATCTCCTACGACCCACCCTCTCAAAAATGATGATTTGTGTGCGGATGTACATGTGCATATGAGACTGAGAGACTTGTGTCCCACTGTGTACTCTGTGCATGAGGTCAAGAACAAGTTGCAGGAGTTAGTTGGTTCTGTCCTTCATGTAGGTCCCGAGGTCAAACTCATATATGTCATCATACTGGTGGCCAGAGACTTAACTTTCTAAGTCATTTTACTAGGCTTAAAAAAAAAAAAACAAAAACCCAAACCTGCTTTTCTTATAGAAAGTAGACTACAAAAGCAAGTAGAATGTTAATTATACCTATGGCACAGTTATTGAATGCTTCTATTACATGTGCTTTGAAGTTTCTTCTTGCTGTAGGAATGGTTACATTTTCTTAGTGCATTAGTAGTTCCTTTCAGTATGTAAGAGAAAACAAGCCATTGCTGCTGACAACTCATGTTGTAAGACAGAAAAGCATTGTCATTAAGTGTACAGTCACATGTTTAGAAGCAAATTTGGAAACCAAAGATGTTATTGTGAGGTACTTGTGTGCTGTTTGAATTAGGAAGTATCAATGTTTTCCATAATAGTGTGGTCCTTTAAGTTACAATATCCCATAACTGGTCTCACTGTTTACTACCAGAAGTTAAAGTGCATTTTGCTAATCAGTCAGTACAACCCTTGGCAAGAAAGATGGAGCTGCTGCCTGAAACTTCTTCCCTCCCACAAAAAGGTCTGAAGATTCCTGGTTTAGAACATTCGAGCATGGAAGGACCAATAGCAGTAAGTAAAAGCTAACTTACTATGAGCAAGACACAGTCATACACTTCATTAGGATCTTACAACTTAATATTGACCAATATTACGATGTCCAAGTGTTGTGTGGACTTGAATATCGACAGCTCCTTCTCTTATCTGAACTAGAATCTGTCAGCACTTGGAACAGAAGAGTTACTGCAACGAGAACACTATCTCAAGCAGAAAAGAGATAAGCTAATGTCCATGAGAAAGGATATGAGGGCAAAACAGATCCAGAATACTGAGCAAAAAGGAAAGCCTACCAGGGAGGTGGAGGTATGGCTAGTTTAATGTGTCAACTGTGCAAAGCAGGGGAAGAGATTTTCTGGTTTGTGTAATAAAGTCTTCAACGAATTTTGCTGCTTGATCCACTCAAATGAACCATCTGCTAGTACAACTGCTAAATCTTCTCTCGGGAGAGTTTAGCTGGGAATTCTGTGAGGCAGAAATAATTTCATTATACAGTTTTGTTGACTTCCCTGCTGAGTTCCTTAGGGTTGATGGTCTGCCTTACCTTAGCCATTTGAGAAACTTGGTTGTTGACTTTTAAGTTTTACTGAAAATGCCCTTTTTGTTCTTTTGAAGCATGTTGAGAATTTTAGACATATAAAGCTAATTTTTAATTTTTGTCTTTTCTTCTTTTCTTCCTTAAAGGAAATGACAGAGAAGCCAGAAATGACAGCAGAGGAGAAACAAACATTAATAAAGAGGCGACTACTTGCAGAGAAACTTAAAGAAGAAGTTATTAATAAATAATATGAAGAGTTAGCAAAACAGTCCAAATTTTCTTAAAAATAAATTATTTAATCCTTAAACAAGACTGTTAGTTTCACGCAAAAACCTGCTTTCTAAATGCAACTATAAGCTCACTATTATTATTTTAAACAGGTAAAGGGCAAGAGGAAAGGCAGTTTAACAGAAATTTCTGCATAGAGCCAGGTATGGTGTTGCACGCCTATAATCCTAGCACCCAGGATGCGGGAGCAAGCAGGAGGTTCAGGAATTCAAGGTCATCCTTAGGCACAGATCAAACTGGAGGCCAGCCTAGGTTACCTGAACCTGTCTCAAACAACCTAAATAAATAAAATAAGACAAAAATGTGCATGTTTTCTCTTCCAAAGGGGCTACAGAGAGAAACTGGTCGATAGCGCATGCTTTCATTCATTCTTCCTAGACACTGTTATGATGAATCACAGCCACGGTCGTCAACCAGACTGACAGGGTCCCAGCTTTCACAGGGTTATCGAGGGCCCAAAGTGCAGTGCCAGAAGGGGAAAGGCCAGTGATGAAGTGGCAAGCTGGCTGCGCTGCCTCGAGCAGATAAGCTGTAAACTCAGCAGGCGGTTGCAGAGAAGAGGGTATACAGTAATTTAGAACTTTCAAGCTGAACCAGAGCATGTGAATAGCAGAGGTAGCAATGTGAAGGGTTAGGGTAACATGGAAATTGTGAAGAATTAGAAACTTTCATTTTTGAAAGTGTAGCTACTGTAGCAAGACATGTACTAGTGGAGATGTAGGTTCACACAGTATGATGCGACCCAAAGGCAGTATCTTGGACAAAGGCCAAAGAGCTTTATATTTGAAGCAGAACAAATAAGACTTGGAAAAATAAATGGAAACGTAGAAAATTAGAACCTTTTCTATAAAAGTTGTTATAAAAACAGACAAAAGGATCAAGTGACTGAACCTGAGGAAAATGTGACTTACCAGTTGTCTCTGTAAAGCTCTGGGAAAATACTAGTCTATCTGCTTAAAGGTAACCAGAAGGATCCTGTGTTCAGAACCTTGCAAGTTACACTTTATACGCACCCTTTTCTAGTCACTCAACTTTTTTTTTTTAAAAAAAACATTTTGTGTGTCTATGGGCATGTCTATGCCACTATGCCTGTTGGTCAGGGGCCAGTTTGTACTGTTGAGTTCCGGGGATCAGACAGACTTGTCAGCAGTTGACCTCAACTGGGGTTTTTCTAAAATTTCACCAAACCTACTTGAATCTAAAACTGTTATTTAGGCTCCAACCTTCAGAAAAAACAGTGATAAAAACACAATCTGTTTCACGTAACTTTTTATTAAAAATAGCTTTTTATTAGGTACATGTTTACAGATATTTTTAGGACCTAAGGCATACAGATGTGTGCTCTGACTTGAACGAGATAACGCTATAAGCATCCCAGCCTGCATCAGGGTCCTCACGACAACAGTTAATGTGGAATTTTCCTAGTTGTGCCTTCCAAGGATCCATTCATCTTGTGAGCATATGCATTACACAACCGTTGCCTTTATTTTTTAAGAAGACATTCATTTCTGCTGTAAGAAACACTTTCCCATACTAGTGACTTAAAAGTTTGAAGTTCCTCAGAAAGGAAAATCAAAGGAGTCTTTATAAGGTTCATAGACAATACTTTGCACTTAAGTTATATAAGAGTAAGAACAGAACAGTTACATACATCAGAGCTGCTTAGATTCTAAGCAGTCTAAGTGCTAAGATGGAAGAGGCTTGACAACACTGCTTGGAAGAATGCCCACTCATTCAGTAGCTCAACGATGCTAGGTGAAGGGACTGCAGCTCGATTGTGACATGAGTGGAGGTTAGCTGTATGTGCACCTCGGTGTAGAGGTGAGAATGGCTTCACACTGTGGTACTCTGACACTTAGGATTGACCAAGGCTTATCTCCTGTAAGCTGTATTGATTGTTGACTCTTACTTGCAATTGCATTTAAGACTTTCTGATCTAATGGTTTATAACAAGTCTTTATGGATTTTATAAGCTCTTAAAAGAAAACGGAAATTAGGCATATCTCAAAAATAGTTTACTTATATTTACAACAAAACAAACACAAGCCTCAATCATGGAATTACAGGGTCACGTTTTAATTCCAGAATTTTACATTATATCACCACATGTATACAAATGGTGTAAAACAAGTACAGTGGTATTTTTAATACAAAATAAACATCTGTTTTATGGAAAAAACTATACTTTATATCTACACAGACAGCCCATCTTTTCCAAACAATAGCCAAAATTAAAATTAACTCTAAAATCTCCACCACAGGAAGCTGCTTTTAAGCTATTCCAGGAGAATGGACCCACAACACACTACAGAGATGTTCCAAAGACTGCAGCTGGAATTACTATGTTTTAGAATTGTTTTTCCCAATGCATTAAATTGTAGTTTGGGGTCATTTTTCTTATCTCAGCAATAATCTCAGATCATAGATGAGCAAACTAACATTAAAAATATTTACAATTAACTCGCTGTTCTAAAAATAAAAGCTCTTAATAGTTTGCCTCAGTTATTTTAAATTCATTTACATACATGGAATGTGCTTTTTATTCTCTTAAAAATGCAATTTTCATGTGACACCCTCGCCTGGAAGTTTCCCGTGCTATGCTGTGTGACTCTGACACTTCTATAACCTCTAGAGAAAATGGCTTCTAGATAGTAAATGCCACTTAGTTCAGCACCGTTCTTTATTGGTCTCTATAAATTTGTCAGTAGCGCGAGGAGACCTAGACCTAGCTGTACTGAGGAAGCAGAGTGACTGTCCTGGGGAGTACTGGGAACACCCTCTCCCAGCCACTCCTGAGTTTTGAGGAGGACCATTTCAGAATACTGCTGTTGTGATTTTTGGCTGCTGTTACCCCTAAAAGTGCTGACTTTAAAAGTTCTAAGAAAACTATCCGTTTGGAACCCAGCTTGTTTTTTTATGTACTAAGTCTCTGGCGTAGAAAACTGGATGTGCTGTTACCTAGGGTATGTATATATGTCCTGCCAAACACCAAAGGCTGTTTCACTTCTGTGAAATATTTAAAGAAATGGTCCCAACAATGTAACTTCATTTCTAATGACAGTTCAATTTGTTTTACATAAAAATTTCTTTTAAAAAGAGGCAACTGATTAAAACAACAACATGGCCAGCACCATTATACAAGCAATGTTATTGGGTACTGAAGTCTCACAATGTTCTCTAGATTGGACCCCCTGAAGCAACCCTGCATTAATAACCCTTCTTCTCCCAAACCTGAGACTTTCCTTGCTGGGAAGCTTTCACCCAGGCTCCAACAATCACTTCTTATTTTGGACAGCTCAAAAGGCAAACCCTTTAATCACTAGGAAACAATGAAGTTCTCGGGGAGCCTGGTTTCTTACACTAGACTTTCCTACCTGATAACTGAGTCTCTGCTACTCCGTGTGTGTTAAGTTCCATGAGAACACTTTCCCATTCACACTTGAGCTCAGTGAGCAGCTACAGCGTTTTAGTTAAGACCATGTGTTGGGAGTCCCCCACCAAGTATTCTATGAGCCAAGGCGAGGCCTTTTCCTGGGGGATGATTCTTCTTCCTCATCTTCCTCTTCATCATCTGGATAGTCCACTAAGCCAACCAAACTCCCCTATAGAAGAATGAAGAATATGCTTTAACTTATTTAACCTTAAAAAAAAAAAACCCCAAATTAGCATGAAAACCCAGCATGGTACCAATATAGTCCATAAGATATTAGAAGTCATTTTCTAAATAGAATATGTGATGTAAAGACATTTGAATGGAAGAGGGGAAATTACAACAGTTTACTGTGTACTAACTGCGGGCAGTCCCACCCTCAGCTTTTCTGCTGTTTCTGATTTTTTTTTTCATGAAACTTAAGAATTCACTTTAACAAAGTATCACAAAGAAAATGACACCCACCCTCAAACAACACCTGGAAAAGATAAAAAAGCGTGTTAGATATAAAGTCTCTAGTTTTTACATAAATTTATTTTATTATACTTTTTTTTTTTTTTTTTGATTTTCGAGACAGGGTTTCTCCATAGCTTTTGGTTGATTTTACTTTTAAGGAATAATCCACCCCACCCCAGATAGGGTTTCTCTGTGTAACAGCTCTGACTGTCCTGGAATTCACTCTCTAGATCATGCTGGCCTCGAACTCAGATATCCGCCTGTCTCTGCTTCCCGAATGTTGGGATTAAAGATGTGCGCCACAACTGACTTTATTTTTTAAAGATTTTATTTATTATGTATACAACACAGTGTTCTGCCTCCATGTATGACTCCAGGCCAGAAGAGGGCACCAGATCTCATTGTAGATGGTTGTGAGCCACCATGTGGTTGCTGGGAATTGAACTCAGGACCTCTGGAAGAACAGTCAGAGTCCTTAACCTCTAAGCCATCTCTCTAGTCCCCACTACTGACTTTTTAAAGAATAATTTAAATGGCTGAAGATAGATAACAAAAACAAACAAACAAAAAACAAAAAAATGGTTTTGCTAAACTAATGGTTAAAAATAAGAATGAGGTACATTTCAGGGTTTGGGCCCTCAGCAGAAAATGGCAGGTGTTCGCAGGCTTGCATTAATTTTGAACCAATTCTATGAAACTATGCATGCTCTGCGGTAAAGGGGTTCCTAACATTGTTTAGTTTAAAACCTTTTGTACCTCTCGAGGCTAAACAAATCAAAGTAACTTGTCCTTCATAAGTGGCTCCATATGTAAACACAGATACCTGAAAGCACCAATGATGGAGTAAGTGAAACACTAATATTGGTCAGAAGAGGACTGAGCATCTAGAAGCAGTTATCAGTTTATGAACTAAAGAAGGAATTATTTAGAAAATTCCTGCTTAGCTAAATCGTACATCTGAAGTTTGAATTAGAAAGAGGCACAGGGCTTAAGTATTAGGACATAATGATTTCAGGTTTCAATGCTGCTCTATTTGTGGAGGACAGCTCACAGTGACTAAAGCTCCTGGAAGTCTACTATCTCCTTAAATTATCTAAAATGAAAGTAAATGTAAAACATGCAGATCTACAAAGAGG